TCTATGCTGGACTGGGTATGTTTAAAAATCAGACTGTTTCAAATGGCCATGGAACAGCTGATGGAGCTCTGAGTTCTATGCTGGACTGGGTATGTTTAAAAATCAGACTGTTTCAAATGGTCATGGAACAGCTGATGGAGCTCTGAGTTCTATGCTGGACTGGGTATGTTTAAAAATCAGACTGTTTCAAATGGCCATGGAACAGCTGATGGAGCTCTGAGTTCTATGCTGGACTGGGTATGTTTAAAAATCAGACTGTTTCAAATGGCCATGGAACAGCTGATGGAGCTCTGAGTTCTATGCTGGACTGGGTATGTTTAAAAATCAGACTGTTTCAAATGGCCGTGGAACAGCTGATGGAGCTCTGAGTTCTATGCTGGACTGGGTATGTTTAAAAATCAGACTGTTTCAAATGGCCATGGAACAGCTAATGGAGCTCTGAGTTCTATGCTGGACTGGGTATGTTTAAAAATCAGACTGTTTCAAATGGTCATGGAACAGCTAATGGAGCTCTGAGTTCTATGCTGGACTGGGTATGTACATAGTGCAACATCAGGTGCTGTTGTGCCAAAAAATGTTAGCAGGTAAAATCTGTGGAAAATATTTACGTTTGCTATACTTGGTATAATAAAAATAGATGAAATAGTAACAGTTAATATTTCTAGTGTTCTGTTTTAGAGATAAATACAATTGTATATGATTTAGATATATAGGGATAATTTGAAGCAGCAAAGTATTTAACGCCTTTGTTCCCAATGGCATGTAAAATACATTCTCTTTAAAAGTTACAAATACTCTTTAATTCAAAATATCCCAATCTATTTAGTAGTTGATAATTGGAAAAATTACATTATTCATCTTTTTTTTTTGTCCTGTTAGGGAGATGACAACTTATTCCCAAAGTTACAATTGGTAAATATATGATAACTACAGTTATTAGTGGCTTACAATACCAGAAATACCAGCCATTTGTGGAAAGTCACGTTTGTGAGATTGGATGCTTAACAATGTGAATCTTATTTGTTTAAGTATATTTTCCAGTGGCTGTTGTGTAGAGCTTAAGGTGATTTGATTTTTTTTATTTTTTTAACTGCTTAGTGGCCAGACCATTTTCAATTTTCTTACTGTTATGGACCAGGGCTCATTTTAAATTTCTGCGGTGTTTGTGTTTAGCTGTAATTTTCCTCTTACTCACACATATTATATACTGTTGTTCTCACCATTAAATGGTCTTTCTAAGAATACCCTTATTTTCATCATGTCATATAATTAACTATAAAATATTTTATAAAATATGATGAAAAAATGTAGAAAACCAGACTTTTTCTAACTTTGACCCCCAAAATCTGTTACGCTTCTACAACCGCCAAAAAAACCTGTGCTAAAAAGTTTCTAAATTTTTTCCTGAGTTTATAAATGACCAATGTTAACATGTTCTTAGCTTTTTTGGGAAGGTTATAGGGCTATAAGTGCAAGTAGCACTTTGCTATTTCCAAACCATTTTGTTTTTCAAAATTAACACGTTACATTGTAACACTGATATCTGTCAGGAATCCATGAATAACCCTTCACATGTATATATTTTTTTAAAAGAAAACAACCTAAGGTATTACACTTGGGGTATTTTGACTCTTTTCATGCAACCATTTTACCACCAATTTATGCCAAATTTAAAAAAATAAAATAATAATTGGTGATTTTTTTTTTTGACACACATAGCAATTTAAGAATACATATATGGAGCACTTTAAGGGTTACTGCCAAAGAACACCCCAATATGTGTTCAGCAACATCTCCCAAGTACAGTGATACCCCCATGTTTAGGTGTGTTTTCCAACTTTTAATTTTCTCAGCTGGTCATCATGCACCCATGTCCTATTTGGAACATTTTTGAAGCCAGACAATGTAATTCACCCCCATCAAACCATATATTTTTTTTTAAAGTAGACACCCTAGGGTATTTCAAATGGCGGTTAAAGCAAATTGAGAAGGCTGTAAATCGGGGTAACATGTTAATCATTGGAGATTTCATTTACCCAGACATAAATTGGGATAGAGGGACTAGTACTTCAGCAAGGGAAATCAGGTTTTTGAATGTGTTAAATGACACCTTTATGTCACAACTCATACAAGCACCAACTAGAAAGGATGTATTTAAGTTTTAAAGATTCTTTTGTTTTAGGTATTGTACCAGAGGATTGGAGGAAGGCAGATGTCGTTTCTATATTTAAAAAGGGTTCAAAATCCTTGCCTGGAAATTATAGACCTGTAAGCTTAACTTTTGTGACTGGGAATATATTTGAAGGGCTATTAAGGGATAATATTCCGGAATTAATTGAGAAGAACTTTGTTATTAGCAATAATCAGCATGGTTTTATGAAACATAGACATAAATTCTCGGGATGAAAATATAATTTTGCCTCTTTATAAATCGCTGGTAATACCACACCTTGAATATGCTGTGTAATTTTGGGCACCCTTTCTAAAGAAATATATGATGGCACTTGAAAAAGTTGCGAGATGAGCTACAAAATTGCTAAAAGGAATGGAGCATTTTAGTTACGAAGAAAGGTTAATAAATGTAAATCTCTTTAGTTTGGAAAAACGGCGCCTCAGAGGGGATATGATAACATTATACAAATATATTCGGGGCCAGTACAAACCATTATCTGGAAATCTATTCATAAACAGGGCTATACATAGGACACAAGGTCACACATTTAGGCCGGAAGAAAGGAGATTTTATCTAAGGCAAAGAATAGTTTTTTTCATAGAAAGGGCAACAAGGATATGGAATTCTCTGCCTGAAGAGGTGGTTTTATCAGAATCTCTACAGATATTTAAAATACAATTGGATAAACTTGCAAAACATAACATACAGGAATATAATTTCTAATTAGTGCGCTAATAGCTGCTTGATCCAAGGAGACTGCTATTTTGGAGTCAAGAAGGATTTTTTTCCTAGTTTGTTTCAAAATTGGAAGCACTTTAGACTAGGTTTTTTTGCCTTCTTTTGTCTCAACAGCAAAAACATATGTGAGGAAGGCTGAAATTGATGGACGCAAGTCTCTTTTCAGCTATGTAACTATGTAACTATGGTATTTTACCACTTTCCATGCACTAATTCTACCACCAGTCTTTTTCAAACTTTTGGGTAGTCATGTTTTTGTTATTTTTCTCTCACATTGTACATTATGCATGGATTCTCAGTTCCTGTTATGTGTTACTGACAAACAACACCCCCAATATGTGTTCAGCAACATCTCCCAAGTAAAACAGTGCCCCCAATGTACAGATTTTATGGGTTTTTGCAAACATAGCGTTTTAGCGTTCTTATTTGTTTTTTTATAAATGTGTTGGGTTTTTTCAATTTATAATAAAAAATTATATGTGTGTGTATAATACGTTTATATAATACGTTTGTGTGTGTGTGTATATATTCATATTTATATATATATATATATATATATATATATATATATATATATATGCACACACACAATACATGTATATGCATGTATATATATATATGCACACATACACTTTTATTTTCTATATATGTATAATATATTATAATTAAAGCATTTTATAATATATTATACATATATATGATTTCATGATAAGTGTATTTTGAGCTATATATGTATCTTATAATGAAATCATATATATGCATTATATATGTATAATAAATTATAAAATGCTTTAATTATTTTATAATATATATTTTACATATATATGTATAATATATTTATTTAATTTTTTTTTTACTTTTTAGCAGCCTAGGGGACTTTCTTAGAGCTCGGAAGTATATATATATATATATATATATATATATATATATATATATATATATATATATATATATATATATATATATATATATATATATATATATATATACATATATATCAAAAGTTTGACTACCCTGAAAACATGAGTGAGCAGGCAAAACACATTTCTTTTATTTCTTATGGGTTTCATACACAAATGTAGGTTATAACAGAATGGCACAATCATAAAATAAAACATGTCAACAAAGAAAAAAAAATGAAATTAACCCTCTTCAAAAGTCTGCATACCCTTAACTCTAACTACTATGTATTGCTCCCTCTAGCATCAATGACAGCGTGCAGTCTTTTGTAATAGTTGTCTATGGAGCTCCTAATTCTTACAGGTGGTATAGCTACCTATTAGTCATGGCAAAATACCTCCAGTTCATGCAAAATCTTTGGTTGTCTTGCATGAACTGCACATTCGAGATCATCCCAGAGTGGCTCGTTGATATTAAGGCCAGGAGACTGTGATGGCCACTCCAGAACCTTCTCCTTTTTCTGCTGTAGCCACTGGAGGGTCAACTTGGCCTTCTGCTTAAGGTCATTGTCATGCTGGAAAGTCCAAGAGCAAAATAATGCAATTTGTCTGCCAGTATTTTCTGATAACATGCTGCATTCAACTTGCCTTTAGAGCTCACACTCCCCAAAACATCAATGAGCCACCACCATGCTTCACAGTAGGGATGGTATTCTTTTCACTATAGGCCTTGTTGACCCCTTCCCAAACATAGTGCTTATGGTTGTGACCATAAAGCTCTATTTTGGTCTCACCATTCCAAACCACAGTGTGCCAAAAGCTGTGAGGTATGTCAAGGTGTTATCGAGCATTTTGTAACTGTGCTTTTTTGTGACATTGATGCAGCACAGGCTTGTTTCTGGGAACTCGACCATGTATCTCATGTTTGTTCAAGTATCGCTATTTTGTGCTCCTTGAAACAACCACACCGTCTTTTTTTCCAGAGCTGTCTGCATTTCTCCTGAAGTTACCTGTGGGTTTTTCTTTGTATCCCAAACAATTCTTCTTGCAATTATGGCTGAAATCTTTCTTGGTCTACCTGACCTTGGCTTGGCATCAAGCGGTCCACAAATTTTTCACTTCTTAATAAGTCATTGAACAGTACTTACTGACATTTTCAAAGCTTTGGATATCTTTTGATATCCTTTTCCATTTTTATAAAGTTATATTACCTTGTTATGCAGGTCTTTTTACAGTTCTTTTCTGTTCCCCAAGGCTCAGTATCTAGCCTGCTAAGTGCATCCACGTGAGAGCTAACAAACTCATTGACTATTTATACACAGCCACTAATTGCAATTTAAAAAGCCATAGGTGTGGGAAATTAACCTTTAATTGCCATTTAAACTTGTTTGTGTCACATTGTGTGTCTGTTACAAGGCCAAACATTCAAGGGTATATAAACTTTTGATCAGGAACTTTTTGGTGATTTCTGTTATCATTATGATTTAAAACAGAGCCAACTATGTGATAATAAATGGCTTTACATGATCCTTCAATAAAATAATAGTTTTTTTTGCATGATTAGTCATGTTTTTAAAATCAATGCTAACATTTCACAATTTCTGCCAGGGTTTGCAAACTTTTGAACACAACTGTATATTAATATCAAAATACACTTAGAATGAAATGACATAGATATTATATATATATATATATATATATATATATATATATATATATATATATATATATATATATATATATATATATATATATATATATATATAATAAAAAAAAACTATATGTGTAATTTCATTCATACTATTTGGTTATCAATATATATCAAAATACACTGAAAGAGAAATTATATATTTAACAAACAAACATGATCCAACATACTCCTCTATCCACTAAACAGCTATTTCAAAGTTCACAGAATGTAATAGTTTATTTTAAAATGCATAACCTAGGCAAACATAAAGGGGGTTTAGTTACAGCATATGATCATACATTGTATAAGTCTGGCACAATGTCAAATTACCGCATTCATTACAGGTTCTACTTTAGCAAACTATTGCCTGGTCTTATGCGATTAATCCACTTACTTGGGAAATGCTTCTAGGACTCTCTCTAGTGTAAGGTTTAGTAGGGTCCTGGGAGGAGGCACCTGTGACCTGCAGAGAATCACAGGAGGAAGCATTTTGGCTTTCACCAGGACTCTGTCAAGGAGAAGAAGGCATGCTATGTGCTGGGAGGTGCAGTGAACCTAATGTCAGCTGCTCCTTCAATATAGGCCTGCATTAATGGTACAAAGGGTTATGTTTCTGCTAAAAATGAATCATGAGGGAAGGACATATTGCAAGGCAAGTTTCTGTATATGTTGCTTAATGGATTTCCTTCTATGATGGGAAAAATGATAATTGTGTTAGTCTGCTGTTTTGATATACCCCTGTAATGAATTCCAACACAATGTTCAAGATTGGGGCCCCTAATATTCCTAAGTACTTTGAAAAGAGGAAAAAACAAACACACACACACAAGTCTGAAATGTATCTGTCATGAACAAAATCATCTCAGCAAATGTTATTAATAAAGTTCTTTAGTAGACCATTTGATTTGATTTGCTTAATTCTGAATTTTTCTAAAACTTGGCATACTGCCTCCGTATTAAATAGTTATTTACACAATTAATAAAAACAAATAAAATATTGATGATAATGATGATGATCATCTAGGCAACTGAAATGCACATGTTACATACTATTCAAGATTTTTTTAATATTAGATACTGTATATGTTAGTCTGAAACTTTCCCCATTCACCTTGGGAGAAACACTTAAATGGATTTAAAATGTTCCTTTTCTCAAGACATATGATCAAATAAGCATGTCTTAGCTTTAATTCTATTAGGATAATTCACAAAATGAATAAAGTATCTCACCTGGAGCACATGGACTGCATAATCCAGACATTGTCTTCAAGATTTGCAAATGTCCAGCTTTTTCAATGTATTACAGACAAAACTGCAAAAACATGCATTTCACATAACAAAATCCTACCTATACAACGTACACTGATCAGTCACGACATTAAAACCACTGCTAAATAAAGTGAAAAGCATTGATTATATCATTACAATGGCACCTGTCAAGGGGTGGGATAGATTAGGCAGCAGGTGAACAGTCATTTGTTGAATTTCATGTGTAGGAAGCAGAAAAAAATTGCAAGCAAATCGTCATGGCGAGATGACTGGGTTAGATAATCTCCAAAACAGAAAGTCTTGTGGGTTTATGTGGTATTCAGTGGTTAGTACTTACCATAAGAGGTGGAATTAAGGACAACCAGTAAACTGGCATCAAGGACATGGGTGCCCAAGACTTATTGATTCACATGTGGAGTGAGGGCTAGCTTGTCTGCTCTAAACATACAAGAGCTAATGCACCATGATAGAAAGGTGTCAGAACACATGGTGCATCACAGTTTGCTGCATATGTGGCTGTGTAGCTGCAGACTTGTCTGAGTGCCCATGATGATCCCTGTCCAGCATCAAAAACACTTTCAAATGGGACATAGGTGTCAGCAAAGAAGAAAGTTGCCTGGTCTGATGAATCACATTTTATTTTAGATCAGATGGATGGCCAGGTGCGTATGTGTCATTTACTTAGGGAAGATAGGATGCATTATAGGTAGAAGGCATGCTGGGAAACCTTGATTTTGAGTTTAATGTATTGGTTGATCAGTGTAAGTGTGGTTGTACTAAATAAAAAGTAGAAAAATATAAAAAATCTAAAAAAAAAATATTCTGGAAAAAAATTATTTTATAATATATATAATTCCCACATACAATAAGTGAAATTATATAAAGTTTCTGAAATATGATTTTTAGATTCATTAATTTTATTGATACTATTAATTAGTATAAATGTATTATTTATGAAATCGTATTTTTTCTTTAAATCTAGATAGTCAGACTTGTCTCACAGTTGATCTAGTTTAGAGTAGTTAGAATGTAGAGTAATGATTTATAAAAAGCATAATTCTGTGTTAATATAATGTCATCAGCTCACATACTTAATATAATAAATGTAAGTCCTTTATTTTGCTGACACATTTCTCAAAGGCTACTTTAATATCCTACTTTCTCTTTAAATCTAGATAGTCAGACTTATCTCACAGTTGATCTAGTTTAGAGTAGTTAGAATGTAGAGTAATGATTTATAAAAAGCATAATTCTGTGTTAATATAATGTCATCAGCTCACATACTTAATATAATAAATGTAAGTCCTTTATTTTGCTGACACATTTCTCAAAGGCTTCTTTAATATCCTTGTTCCTCAGACTATATATGACTGGGTTAAGTAGTGGGGTAACCACTGTGTACAACAAAGAGAGGACTTTGCTTATGGTCAAAGAATGTCCTCTTGTTGGAACAACATAAGCACTTATGAGTGTCAAAAAGAATATGCACACAACCGTCAGGTGAGAACTGCAAGTGGAGAAGGCTTTTTCTCTCCCACTCATTGATGGGATGTCCAAGATGGTAAGTACAATGTAAATATAGGATATCATAATGATTAGGAATGGGCAAATAAGAATCGGTACAGATAGAAAACTTGATTCTATCTCAACTATATTAGTATCAGAACATGAGAGTTTTAAAAGGGGAGAAAGATCACAGAAAAAATGGTCAATTATGTTTTGCTCACAGAAGACTAGTTGAGAAATGGTCACTGTATTGACTAGTGTGAGAGATAAACTCATCAACCAAGACATGATGATGAGTTTTAGGCAAAGTGAATTGTCCATCATAGTGCTGTAATGCAACGGACTGCATATGGCCAGATACCTGTCATAAGACATGACTGTCAGAAGAAGAGTTTCAGAAATTTCTGAAGCACCAAAGAAATAAAATTGAACAATGCAGCTGGTGAGAGACAGGCTGACTCCATTTTTGAGAATAATGTGAAGCATATTAGGGGAAATGACAGTGGTCAAGATCATGTCTGATATAGACAGCTGTGAAAGAAAAAAATACATTGGACAATGAAGGTTTTTACTGAAAGACACCAAAGCAAGAATAAGAATATTTCCACATAGTGTCACACAGTAGATTATACAGATCAATGAAAAGAGTATAATTCTGAAGCCATGAAGATTCGGAAAACCAAGAAGCAGAATCGTGGTTACCAAGGATATATTCCTTTCACAAGATACCTGGTAATGCAAGAATAACAGATATGTTATATTGCAGAATGCTTTGTATTGATAATACAAATCAAACCAATGTTACTTTTAATATATATTTCTGTTTTAGACATTTATTACAAACTGCAGATATGTTTGTGTTATAAACATTTTGTGCTACTTTCTGCAGGTCAAGTCTCATACACAATGTTAGTGAATAGATCATGTAGATAGGAATTAGCAGTTAAAACATGATAACACAACAACATAATAAGTAATTTTAGTAAAAAAAAAAAACATTGGTAAAACAAATGTAATATGTCACATATTGCTGCAGCTGTTGATTTAACTGAAGGCATTTTGAATTTCAAGTTTGCCTTATAAATATAAAGATTCCTGAATCCAAAAAGGGAATCTGATTTCTTTTCTGTTCATTAATAATTATATTAACTGTTTTCACTCTGTTTCCTGAACTTTAATAAATATATTGTAAGACGTTGTATTGAAGCTGATTTGAAATCTTTACCATTTCACTACCGAACACTTTTGTTCGGAAAAAAAAATCCAAAACATTTGTAAACCAGGGTAATTTTTGATAAGAACAAATTTGTGAACCAATTGTTTTTCAGAGACACTCGAAATTTGAAATAATGTAAAATTTACATTATTTTTTTATTTTTTTATTTCAGAATTATGAGCATGGACATTTTTAGTCAGTATTTAATATCTTTTACTTACTTATTTCACATGTTTTTTTTTAACATATAGTAAGCGTGACAAAATAGATAAATAATAATGGTAAAATAGCCTGCTTATATGTATTTCTAATGACCCTGAAGGCATCACTTGCAGTACAGTTCACTAATAAACACTAACAGAATGTAAAAAGAATGTTTGCAGTTGAGTATAATGCTCAGAAATGATTTTTTTTAATTAATCTCTGAAATTCCATTTTAATCTCATCAATTAAATGGGAGAGCACATTCACTCCTCTCCCATACATGACTGTAGGAATAGCATCACCGACTAACTCTTCCTTTACTATTTGGAAGGCTGAGTGTTGCTGACTTTTTAAATGTGTTCCTCTGCAGATAGCAATCATCACAAGAGTAGAAAAAAGAGCTCAGTGAGGCTTTATGGACTACATTTTATTTTGTAAAGTAAATGAAAATAACATTTTTTTTATATATGATTTTGGGAAATAAGTAGTTTAAGACAAAGTAGTTTAGTTTTCTTGCTGTAAAACAAGTACTTCATTTCTTA